TAATTTAGCCATTTAAATCAGCTGTGTTGGATAAAGGACACATCTAAAACCTGCAGGACACAGACCCTCGAGGCCTGGAGTTTGACACCTGTGATCTATGCAATCACATGATATTCCTGACAGACTTGTTTGGGGTGTGACTTGCATGGATCATGGAGTTAAACATGATTAAACATGTGGTTAAACACTGGAAATGTTGAGTGTTTACTTAAAGGAGAGTGCATCCATATACCAGTGTGTCTAAAGGTAAGGTTATATAAAAAGTCCTCATTATTCTGTGGTCGTAGCCCATTGGCCAAATCTGGCCCATTGTGTTCTCATGCACACCTTTTGGCCAGTCAGGTTTCTATTCATTAGCCACTCCAGCTACAAGGCTCAAGACTCCACTACTTGTTGCCTTTTTTTGGAAGCCCCGCACAGCTCATATCTCAAGTTTTGACACATTTGTTTGTTTTGTTTTTTTATTGAAGTGTTATACACCAGGTCTGAGTTTGTATCTGGCACAGATGTGGTGCTGCTGTTAGCAAAGTCTGTCCGGACACAGTCGTATGAAGACATCCCAGAGCAGAGCTTCAAAGTGTTTGGTTAAAGGAAGCATTTGTAAAAACCTTTTTTAGTCTTATCCATCACTCAAAGGATTTCATAATACATATACCTGTTTACATACACATTCCTTTTACTTACACATTTTTTATTCCACACTGGTAATACACTAGGGCCCATTTGTGGGGCTCGGTATATTTGCTGTGGACATGTGGATGTCTCAAACAATCTCAGCTTTAGGATTATTGTTATAGGCTGTTTATCAGTTTCCCATAAACAGTACTTGAAGAACAGTACAAACACATTTTTTCTTAAACCTCAATACCCATCAGCACCAATATACCGCAGCATATAAAGTAAAATTTATAAATCCATATATTTAGAACAAATTAGCTCTGTGTATAAAGCCGAATGCTGTAGACCAGGGGTAAATGGCCTGCATTTGTATAGCGCTTTACTCAGTCCCTAAGGACCCCAAAGCGCTTTACACTACATTCAGTCATTCACCCATGTTTTTATAAGTGGCTATATACAGTGATTTTTATAGATATCATATCATCCCTGTAACACATTGTGTTACTTCCTTGAGCTATTCAGAAT